TGAGGCCAGCCTGGACAACTTAGTGAGACCCTGTCTCAAAAAAATAAAAATAAAAATAAAAATGGCTAGGGATGTGGCTCAGTGGTAAAGCACCCAGGGTTCAGTCCCCAGTACGGAAAAAAAGAAAAGAAACAGCAGGTCATTTCACGCCCTAGGACCATTTGGTAATATCTGGAGACATTTTGGTTTGGGGTGTCTCTGGCCTCCAGAGGGAGGCCAAGGATACTGCTCAATATCATACAAGGCACAGGACCCCCCATGAGGACGAGGTGGACAGAAACCTGGCCCAAAGGGAGGCTGGGAGGCAGAAACGGTCACAGGGATCCACACCCTGCCCACCACAGGCATGCTGACTGCCTGTCCCCAGCTCAGCCTCAGAAACGAGACTCCTCAAAAGACTAAGAAGCTGGCTCCTGGGCGCTCCCTAGAGCCCAGCTCCTAAACCCCTACCCGGACCCTCCTTTCCTTCCTGGGAGAGAGAAACCACAAGTCATGAGGTGCTAGACTGGCATGCAGTTGGGGCCTAATGCATGGGCGTTGAATGGCTGGAGGAAACCAGAACTGAAATCCCTCAAGTGTCAGGACAGCTGAGCTAGCCTGTGACAGGCTCCAAACCCTGGCTTTGCCACTTGTTACTGTGTGGCTTGAGCAAATGTTTCACCTTCTCTGGGCCTTTGCTTGTCAGCCAAGATGATGCTCACAATGAGCCTAGACCACAGGCTCGTCGTCAGGGTGGAATTGCTGAGTTTAGCTCAAGAGTTAAACTCCAAGGGCCTGGCGAGCTCCAGAACACTGCCTGGAGCCTACAGGTGCCGTGGAGATAGACACAGTCTTTAAAACACGGTTCCATGCTGCGTTCTCAGCCTCAAAAGCTAGGGGATTATTGGGCAAGGACACGCCTCTTCCTATTCATATGCCTGAGACAGACCCCCAGCCCCATCTACAGGATCTTTGGATGGTGAAAGTGCCCAGCAGCCTCCAGGTCCCCAGCAGCCTCCAAGTCCCCAGACCCAGCTCAGCCACTGCCAGTCTCTTCTACTGAGCTTCAGCCTCCTGCAGTTGGAGTCCCCTGCTGGAACCTGAGCAAGCTTCCCTGATTGGCTGCTGTTCCAAGGCCAAGTCTGAGGAGTGGACAGCCAGGCCAGGCCAGGCGGAAGCCCAGAGGAAGTTCTTCCCAGCCCCTGGAGAGGAAGACCCATGGGGTCAGAGCCAAGGACGCACAAACCCCTGGCCGTCGGGTCTTACCCATAAATGTCAATGACGGTCTCCACACCGGCCACGCACACGGCACTGGTGGGATGCTCCAGGGACACGCGCACAATCCTCTGCAGTGACATGCTGGCCTTGGACTGGGCTGAGGCCACCAAACCCAGCACTACCCCAGAGGCCCTTTGGGATGTGGTTTAAATGTCCCCGGCCCCGCCCTTCCAGCCCAGGGTGCATGCTCATTGGTTCTGGTCCTGGAAGCCCAGCCTCTTTCCAGAGGCAAGCGCTCACGATTGGCTGGAAGGAACCCAGTATTTGCATATGAACCTGTTGCTTCCACCTTAATTCCTGGCTCAGAGGGGAGCAAGTCCCCACAAGTACCGGCCAGGGCATTGGGTTGTGGGGGGCAGGGGAGGAGGACGGGCAGAAATGCGTGGGCTCCCTCTTGGCCCTGGCTCACCCCCGCACCCCTTTCTCTGCATTTTCAGAAACAAGGTTTAGGGGGAGCTGCTTTACCCTGCTGGGGAAGCTGGTGGAAGTGCCTGCTCCAGGTCCCCTGCAGCCCCAGGCAGGAGGTCAGGGCTGCAGCGCCATTGGGACCTTTTACAAGCCTCCCCAAGCATTTTGATGGTCTTGAGAAGGAAGCGCCGGCGTCTTTCATAAGAGCTTGGGTTTTGAGGCAGGAATATTTCAGACCTGCCTCGGCCGCTTCTGGGGTGGATGACCTTGGACAAGCCTCACTTTTTCCATCTGAGAAATGGTTGTCGTGAGGCTGAAATGGGCCAATGCTGATAGAGCTCTTGGGGACCCAGGCGTTATCTTATTACTGTTGTTAATATTAGATGCCGAAACCCCTGAAAGGGACAAGTGACGAGAATGAAAATCCTCTCCCACCAACGGGAGCTCAGAATGTCAGAGCAGGAAGCCCCTTTGTCGGGTGGGGAAGCCGAGGCCAGAGGGACACTCGGGCTCCTCAGGAGCAAGGGCCCTGGGAAGAGGGATCTTGGTCCAGATCTAGATCTAGGCTCCCGTCAAGTGGCCTGGGGTCTCCTCCTCTCTCGGGGCCTCAGTTTCCTCATCTGCAGAAAATGCAGCTAATCACCATCCTGGCAGAGATAATGGCGGGGACCCGCCCTGCCTGGGGAGGCTCTGAAGGTGCTGAATAGAGGGTTCCGTGCTCCTCCCTGGTGCTGCTGGCCGTCGGAGGCAGGGTGGGGACAAGGACCGCTGCCCACAGTCCTCACTGGGACGTTTGCATCAGTCCAGGGATCTCAGCTGGGCCCTCAGGCTGTTGCTTCTAAATCCCAGTTTCTGGAAGGGTGTTCTTACCAGGAGAGCCACGGGCCACTGGGCCCAGTGACAACTCACTTTATTCATCTGTAAAATGACTTGGTGGCCAACTCAGCTCTGAAAGAAGAACGAAGAGTTTGGAAAGATGCCCCAGACTGTCTCCCTCACCTGCCTCTGAGCACAGTCAGGGAACAGCTAGAGAACCTGGTGGCCTCCCCCAGGGTGCTGGCCCACTGTGCTTGGGGACAGGAACTGCTCAGAGCCCCATGTCTCCCTCTGGAAGCAGGTCCACTCCTTCATCTCTCCCCAGCTTCCAAAAACAGATCTGTGGATCGTTCAGACTTAAGTGTCCATGACTGATGGGCCCCAAGCTAAAATAAAACTAGTGAGTGAGTGAGCACCCAAGGGTGTATCAGAGGCCGCAGCAGGTGCGGAAGTTGAGAGGGGTGATATTTTCAGGCCTCTGAAATGAAACTGCTGAGGCTGGGCATTGTGGTGCCCTGTGCCCGGGTGCCAGCCCTGTGGGGAATCTCCCCCTCTGCTGACAGGGTCCAGCCCGCCCAGCTGTCTTCAGCATCCCTGACAGATGGAGGAGGTGGCCCAGGCAAGGAGAGAGGAAGAGGTGGGACCCACCCTTGGGAACCACCCTCCTCCAACAGCCATCTCAGCAGGGCAGGTGCCCCTGGTGACGGGCATGTGCCCAGCGTCCTGCTGAACCAGCTGCCTGCCTGGTGCTCACTCACCTGATGCAGGTACTGTCCCTGCGGCCAGCAGAGGCTGAGCCAGGAGCCGGCGGCAGGGTGGCCTCCCGGACGCCGGCTCCCCACCCACACAACCCATCCTCCCCTAGCCCAGAAATCAGGCCAAGGAGGCAGCCGGGTAACGAAATGCATGTTGACGTTTTTATTGATCCGAGAGGTGACTGGCCACCCAGAGCGTTCTTAGACCAGACGCCGGGACCCCCAGAGCCCTGGCAGCGACTCCAGAGCCCCACACTCCGCGTGGCTCCCGAGGCTCACCTCCCTGGGCTCCTCTCTTCCTCCCTCCCTCCAGGACTCTTTCCCCAGGGACTCCTGACCCCGGCCTCACACCCCCAGCCCTGAAGAGCTGTCCTTTCCTTCCTGGCTCAGCCTCAGCTGGTCACCATCACAGAAGAGCGGGCTCAGGTAGGAGCGGGAGCTTGCAGATGGGGCTCCACGGAAGCTTCTGGAAGGGGAAGATCCGGGTTCCCACCCACCCAGCCACGGCAGCTCCAGGTGCCTTTGTTCCCAAGGAGCTCCTAGGCCACAAGAGCCATGTGGCAGAAGTCCAGGGCCCACAGCCCCCGGTCCCACGGCTGGTGGGGGCAGGAGGGCAGGCTGCCGGCTCCCTCCTGCCGCGCCTGCAGCCCAGCCGGCCCAGCCTGCCCGCACACGCCTGTGACCTCACCAGGGCTATCAGCCTCACATGGCGTCTTGGTCCTTCCTCCTGCCACAGGGGCTTACTCACTGGCAAAACCCAAGGCACACATGCAGGGTCCCTGGTCACTGAGGGAGAGCGGGTGAGCCTTCCCCTCCCACTGCCCGCAGAGCGAAGGGGAATAATTAAGTCTATTAAAGGAAATTAAGCCGCACCCTCAGAGATAACCTAATGGTCCCCCACCCCCTGCCACATCTGGAACACCCAACTGCCTTCAGATTCAGAGTCCAAAATCCAAAGCCCAGGAGCCCCATGCCCCGGGGCCCGAGATCATCGCCCAGCCTCCTCTGCCACTCTGGCCTCAACCCTCCTGCCCAGGCCTTCTTCACTGGCCTCCCCAGGCCTCACTTTGCCTCTCAGCACTTTGCAGCCGGAAGCAGCCTGCTCTCCTAATTAAAGGCTCTCGGCACAGTAACGAGCACCCTTCTGAGGACGGAGTCAGGCATTAAAGGGTTTCTGTGGCTTGCTTTTGTTATTATTGTTGTTTGTTTGTTTGTTTAACAGGCCCTGGCCACTGGGTTTTCCGGTCCCTGTCTGCCTACGTGCACCTGCAGGGCGCTGGGGATCACAGCCTGGGTCCCCTTTGGAAAGAGGACACTTTGGACCTCCCTTCCTGGTCTTGCACGAGCCAGAGGAGGCTCAAAACCAGGGTCCTTGGGGCAGCGCCTGGGACACTGGGCCCTGATGTGGGCACAAAGCCACTCTGGTGCCCCAGGGAGGCGTCCGAGCGGAGGGGAGCACTCAGAGTGCCGCCCGCCGAGGCCATCGCTGCTCTTCTCCAACGTGCCGAGGCTGCCCGCCTTCTCCAGAACCCCTGGGGGCCGTGGCAGGGGGCTGGGGGGGAGGAGGCCGGTCCTCGGGCTGGTGGGTCTCTCCAAGGCCAGGAAGGGAGGTGTCCACCCCTGCAGCCCGTGCCGTGGTGGCCAGCACGGTGGCAGGGCTGGGGGGCGGCGCAGAGGCTCCTCAAGGGGACGCAGCACGGCCTGGTCCTTATCCTCACCCTGGTGGCGTCCCCCCAGGAAGGCCGAGAGGGCCGCGGGGCGGGCTCAGGGCACCATGTGCCACCACTTGAAGGGGAAGGGCTCCCGGCGCACGTTGGTGCCACAGTGGACCTCGCCGAGCAGCTTGTGGTAGGACAGGAAGTCGTCCACGAAGACGCAGTGCAGCCCCAGGGGCTCCAGCAGGGCGCGCACCTGCTCCTCCAGGCAGCAGCGGCCGTTGATGAGGGGCCCGTAGGGCTTGGGGATGCCCAGGTGCTGGCCCAGGACCACCATGTTCACCTGCAGGAGAGAGGGCAAGGGCGAGGCTGGGCGGCTGTGGAGGCTCCACGCGGGCCTCGAGCTCTGGCTGCTGCCACCCACGCCCAGGGCTGCTGCTCCTGGACAGCATTCCCGGGCGCCAGGGCTGCGGACTGCCCGAGGACCTCTGCGGAGGCCAAGAAGAAACGGACCGCGGTTGGAGGGGAGCGTCCACAGTGCCCAGGGCCGTCGGCAGCGTACACGGTAAACGTGGCCATCAGTCACCCCTTCCTTCAAAACTGTCCTCCGTCTTTAAGAAACTGTCACATTAGTATCCCTTGTTCTTGTTAGAACAAGAGATTTTGCTGTCATCTGCCAGAAACTTAGACAACAAACACAAAGCCACACGCCCGCGGGTCACAGCCCTCATGGGTGGGTGTGCTCGTGCAGTCGACAGCCGGCCCTGCGGTCCTTGGCAGCCTCCCGCGTTGTTACATTCACTGAGCATCTTCTCTGTGCCCAATGTATCGCCACTACATCTCATGGCCTCCCTCTGAGGCTCAGAGAGGTTAGGAAACACAATCCAGGCCACACAGCCAGAGAATAGGGAGACTAGACCTTGAACTTGAACTCGTACCAGAACTCATGCTCTTTACACCTTGCCAGAGTGGGGTCTCCTGTGGGGCTAAGGAGTTGGGGGAAGGGGCTGGGAGCCCTTGGGGACACCGAGTTGATCTGCAGTGGCACCTCTGCTTCCCTTGGCTGTAGACCTGGCCTGGGGTCCTAATGTGGGGAACGGAAGCCTCCCTGGTGCTAGATCATGGCCACTCCTTAGGGGACATCTCAGCCCTGCAGGATGGCAAAGGCCACCTGGGGCTGCCCCTGGTGTCCAGGGGGTCCTGGACTCGTCCCTGAGTGTTGGGTGGGCTGCCCTGGACCCTGGGCCCTCACACTCCATGCCCCTCCCCCCAGGCCTGCCCTGCAGGGCCACGTGCATGGGGTCAGTCCTGTGGCCTTGGTCCTGAACTGCCTCAGTGACCACTGATGGGCCAGGACGTGATGGGGTGGGGTGAGGCAGACAGGGGACAGAGGGAGCTCGGGCTCCCCAGCTTCAACCAGAGCAGAGCCCGAGGGTTCCTTAGAGCTTCACGGAGGGGAAGGGGCAGCTACTCCCCGCTGGGGCTGCGTCAGTGAACAGTAAGTCACATTCATATTCTGTTCTGCGTCCCCATGAGCCACATTTCAGTGTCCCCTGGTCACCTATGGCTCAGTGGCTACTGTCTTGCACCATGTACCCAGAGCATTGTGATCAGCATAGAAGGTTCCAGAAGACAGCAGTGCCTTCAAGCACTGGGCCTCAAGGAGGGGGGATTTGGGGTTGTCGCGACCAAGGGGTGCTGACTAGCCTCAAGTGGGCAGAGGCCAGGATGTCCCTGAACCTGCCCCTGAGCCCGGGGTGCACCACCACAAAGCCTGCAGCAGCCCAGTCGGCCACCAAGCTGGAGGGAGAGACCCCGCCCCGGAGGTCTTGGCCTCAGAGTGAGATCAGGAGCCCCCTGGGGCCTCCCCACCTGCCTCCAATCTGCACCCGGCCCCGGGATTCACTTCCATCCCTTGTCCCATGAGGGGGTCTCGAGCTAACCCTGCCGTGTGCGAGGAGGGTCTACCTCCACCCCGGGGCCCACGTCCTCTCCCAGGTAATGGGCACTCTGGCCAGGCCTGCCCGATAGCATCGCTCAGCTCCTGCCTGCTGACACACAGGTGAGATCACACCTGCTTATCTGCTCGTCAGCTGCCCAGCGAATGAGGGCCAGGGAGAGGCCACCGCCTGCCCCGCCTGGCCAGCTCGGGAGCCCACCGGGGAGCCAGCAGCAGGGGTCCAGGGTGGAGGGAGGCTGGAGACAGACCCCGGAGCACCCCCTGGGGGAGTAGATGAACCAGGGTGGGGCGGTCCTGGCCTCTGCCCACAGGTGCCAACAGCACCCCCACGTCCACCTGTGACCCCTGGGACACGCAGCCAGCTCGGGAGGGACCTCAGGGTGCAGCCCGCGGGCCCTGCCCATGGCCGCCTGTCCTCCGCCCCAGCGCCCTGCAGGCCGGGGGACCCTCACCATGTCGGGGAAGAAGGCCTCGGCGCGGGTGCCCTGCAGGGAGAAGAGCTGGGGGATGTCCACGATGTCCGCCTCGGCCAGGCCCAGCTCCCGCTTCAGCACCTCGCGGTTCCAGTCGATGCAGCTCTGGGGGGACAGGCCGCCAGGACACGAGGGTCACTGCCCAGGCCACCCAGCGCCACAGCCGCACGCAGCTCCGTGGGGCCCCGTGGACATTGCTGCCCCGTGACGGGGACCCCGGGGTGCACAAGGCCTGCCTGAGGTCACGGAGCTGGGGTCTGGACCTGGACCACGGCCTCGTCACATGTGCACCGTCTCCCGCCTGTGCTCAGCCTCAGCGGGTGAGGGAAGAGCGAGGCCACCTCCAGGGAGGGCCAGCAGCCCCACCCCCACCCCCGTGCCGAGCACAGCCCTGCGCCAGCCCCTGCCAGGCCCTGTGCCCTGCGCGAGTGGGCACTACCCAGGGCAAGCCCTGCCCGGCCTGAGCCCTGGCCCTGCCTTCTGCACAGGTCCTCCGGCTGTCACCCACAGGACCCCACGGCTCCCCACATCTCGAGCCCCAGACTCCTCGCCTCGGAGCCCCATCTGCTTCCAGGAGGTAGGTCACTTCCCCGAGCAGACCCGACTGTGTCCCCAGCGCTCCCGGGACACGGCCTGTCTCCTCCTCCCGCCTGTGGGCTCTCCCAGCCCCTCGTCCCTGCAGAGGCCCAGCCCCCCACCCCAGGGGCCGTCGGGGCAGCCCTCCTGGGGGAGGTGGCCGTCACCGTCACCTGTACGTAGAGGCTGTCACTCCTGAGGCGTTTGTCGGCCAGCATGTCATTAATGCTCCTCTTGGCCTGGTCTTTTAACCCTGCGAGGCAATGACAGGCCTCAGGCGCAGACCCCAGGCCAGGGTGCCCCCACCCCAGCACCAGGGCCAGCAGCAGGTGCAGGAGGCCGGGAACCCCGGGGGCCAGCGGGGGTGGCAGGGAGGACCTGGCCACGGGTCATAAGACCCTTGGAAGGCCCTCGGTACACGGGGCCTGTAATTGCAGCCGGCTGCCCTCAGGGACCGCCCACCACGCTCTGGGGGAGCCATTAAGGTGATATTCATATTCATTTAGTATCAATAGGTAAACCCCCCCGAGGAGGGGGTAATTACCACCCCCAAGGAAGAGAAGAGGAAACTGAGGCATCGAGGGGCTCACAGCTCACCCCTGGCTGATCCCACAGCTGGCCAACGGCCCCAGGGCTGGTGACAAAAGGGCAGTGTCCCCAAGAGGTGACAGGAGCCACAGCACACTCACCCTCAAACTGGGCCGCCTCCCCATGGCCCTCGTCGCTCTTCTCTTGGAACAGTCTGAGGCAGGCACTGGGGCTGGCCAGGAGCAGCCGGAAGCCCTGGGGCAGAGGGCAGGGGCTCAGGTGCAGGGGACCCTGGCCCAGACCGGCCAAGCTTGGGGGCCAGGCCGTGCCTGGGGCTCCCTGCTCGTCTCCGTCCCTCCCACAGCCACCAAGGCTGCCTGCAAGGCCACAGCTCCCCCACCCCCGGCCTCGACCTGCTGCTCCCCCAGGGACAGAGGTGGAACTCAGCATGTTCCTCCTGCGCCCGGGCCTCCCGCCACAGCCTCTCCCTGGGCTGGAAACACCGTCCCTGGGAGCCTCCCCGTCCCCCTCTGCAAGGTGGAGGAGCTCAGAGGTTAAGGTGGTCACCAGGGCCCACATCTGGATTTGAACCCCACTCTGCCGCCTGCAGACTGAGTGAGCTTGGGTAAGTCCAGCCCCTCGGAGCCCCGGTTCCCTTACCTATAAAATGGGGGCAATAATGAGAGCACCTGCCTCCCGGGCTGGCCGGAGGGTTACGTGCATTAAAGTATGTGGCGTATCTGGCACATAGTAGGGGCTCAGCAAGCTCCACCAACTAGGACCAGTGCACTCCTGGCTCTTGGCTGAGGGTCTGGCTCTGAACGCACACTCGGTGTGAGAACGAGTGCGGGCGGTGAACAGGTGAGTGTCCCAGGCTCTCGCCTCCTCCAGGAAGCCGCCCCTGATGAACACCGCCTGACCGAGGGTGCCCTGGCCAGGAGCTCACTCTGGACACAGGGCTGAGCTGGTTCCAGGTGGCTTTGCCCTGGGGCGTCCCTGGGGTCAGACAGGAGCAGAGGGGTCTCGGGGGAGGGGGTGGGACACACCTTTTGGTCGGAGGTGGGCACGAAGCTCAGGAACTCGTCCACGTGGCCCACGGAGAGCCAGTCCGAGTAGAGCTGCACGGGCGCCTGCACCTGCTGGGCCCACAGGAAGTCGCGCACCACCTTGGCCATCCGCCGCCCGCCGGACCTGCCAGGAAGGGACAGCGGGCAGTCACCCAGTGCCCACTGCGCGCTGGCACCCAGTGGCACTTCATGGCACCCCCACACACCTGGGTCCTCCTCCCCAGAGGGGGAAACTGAGGCTCAGGCTGCTGAGGTGACCTCACCTGGTTCCAGGCCCAACCACACCATGCCCAGCGCATGGGAGCCTGGCCAGCGGGGAAGCCCCCGCAGGAGGGAGGCCAGAGCGCCTCGGTCAGGCCACTCTGGCCCAGAGGGGCCCCTGCCGTCGCGCAGCCTAGCGCGACTCAAGCTGTGGGGCAGCCCCTTCCCCAGGAAGTGGTCTTCATACGAACGCCATCCAGGGTGCCTGCCCCCCCCCCCATACCTTCCTCAAGACCAGGATTGTGTCCCTTGACTCAAAGGAGTCACTGCAGAGAGCTCCATCTAGTAAAGGAATGGAGACCCCATCCCAGCCCAGACTCAGAGAGGTTGACCTCCTACTCAGGGGACACACAGCTTTTGCTCAAAATACGACCAGATCTGATAAGCCCCTCCCTCAGCCCCAGGTTCCCAACGTGCAGGCCTGGGCGGCCGGGCTTCGATTCCACAGGGGTGGTGCTGGGGGCCGGGGTCTGATGCCCACCACACCTCACAGTCTTGGAGGATGTGGCTCAGGAATGTGGGTTTCTGGTGACCATCTGACTGTTGGGTGCTCCAGAGCTTGAGAACCACTGCCTGCCAAGAGGGGGGCTTAGAGCAGGGGACGGTGGAGCCGACAGCACCCCCTGCTGTGGGAGATGGCACTGTGCATGGAGGGACCCTGGTGCCCCACTTCACAAACCAGGCAGCCGAAGTCAGGAGCGCCTGTCCCCCGGGACATCGCATTGTCCTGGCCACACACACACGTGTCCCATCTATTTGGATACTTTTTTCAATTTGCTTTCTACGTCCTGCCCTTGCTCGTCTAGCTGAAGGACAAGCTCCCAGGCCTGCACCCAACGGTGGCTCGACCCCAGACAAAGGGCAGAAGCCAGCCCTGAGCCCTCCACTGGCCAGTTGAAGCCCTGTGACCGTCCTCCTCAGTCCAGCCGCAGGGACTCCTGCTGACCCAGCCCTGGGAGGCACCAGACTTTGCCTCTGAGTCACCGTCAAAGCCGCCACCAGGGGGCGGAATTGCTTAAAGAATGCTCGGAGCCCAGGGCAGCGGGGTGGAGAGCCCGGGGCTGCAGGACTCCACCGGCTCCACTTTACAGATGAAGAAACCGAGGCTCGGGAACACGGAGTTCTGTAGGTTTGCTCCAAACCCTCGTCACGGTCCTGTGCTACTTATCCGTTGGGTGGGCTCCTGGCCTGCCCCATCCTGCCAAGAGTGAACTTGGGCAGGCTCGCTGCCAAGGCCCAAAGCCAGGGCCGGGACAGGGCAGTGGCCCCAGCTGCTGACCTTGGGTTTGGGAGCCAAGAGGAGCTGGATTCTGACTGGACCGTGAACATGCTGTGGGACCCTAGACAAGAATTGCCCCTCTCTGAGCCTCAGGGTCCCATTTGCCCACCAAGGGTCTTGTTCTTGACTTTTAACCGCTGATGGGGTGGGGCACCACCACACTGGACACCCATCCAGCACCCCTCCCTGTGCCCGGGAGCTCCAGGGTCCTGGCTCTGCTGCTGGCGAGGGAGGCTGGTGAGGGAGGCTGGTGAGGGAGGCTGGCAAGGGAGGCTGGTGAGGGAGGCTGGCCGGGTGGGCAGGGAGGGCGTATGTGGGCAGCAGTGTGACAGAGACACGTAGGGACACAGGCCAGAGAGGGGGACACAGTCCTGGACTCCTCTGGAGAGCCTCCCCTTCCTGATCCTGTGTTCTCTGAGCCCTTCAGCCCTGACACCGGGTCCCCAGGCTGCTGAGGCAGGGACAGCGTCGTGAGGCCTCGGAGCCCAGGGCGGTGGCCGACGACTCTCCCTGAGTGGGGCCTGCCTGAGCCCTGCCTGGGGCGGACCCGTCCATCCCTGCCCTGCGTCCACCGCTACCTCCACCGCTGCCTCCCGCGGCTCCCGAGACCTAACTCTGGCCTCCAGGTCCCGGTGGGAGGTCCCTCTACCCCGTGGCGCCCTCTGCTCAGCTCGGCTCCAGGACTCATCCACGCGGCCGCTGCCCCAGACGTCCCCCTCTGGTCCCACGGGTGTGGTCAGCCTCAGTCGCCTACAGACCCTCAAGGGCTGCTTCCTTGCCCAGCCCCCACCCTGAGCATGGGAACTGTAGATTCTTGCACAAAAGGGGTCACTGGACTTCCCGGTCTGTAAAATGGGGACAGTGACGTCCCAGCAGATGGGGCTGTGTGAGGGTCGGGGGGTGACCTGGGCAGAGCTTTATGGGACTGGCACAGAGTATGTGGCCAGGGACTTCCAACCCCAGACGCATGGCTGGGGGATGGGGGGACAGCCAGGGACACCTCACACTCACGAGGTGTTAAGGGGAGGGTCTGTCCGCAGGGACGCTGACCAGGTAGCTGGAAGGGGTCACTGGGCTCATCTTGTGGACGGGGCTCTGAGGCGTGTGGTTTGAAGTACGTCCCTAGGCCCCTCCCCAGTGCCCTCAGCCCAGCCTGGCATCAGCAATCCTTTTTAAGTGGATTAAGTGAGCACCTACATGGGCCTGGCACCACGGCAAGCCCCGGACAGCGGACAGGGAATAGACCCCATCGCGAGGCTGGCGAGTGGCAAGGCCAGGACTCGCACCCAAGTCCCTCGGATCCCAAGGCCACAGCAAGACCATCTGGAGGCCTGTCAGCCCCAGGGGTGGGCAGGGTCCAGCGGGCACAGACAGCGTGAGTCACGGCAGGCTGAGCGCCTGGCCCCTGCCACCCTCAGGCCCCGCCCCCAGCCTGACTCAGGGCCAGAAACCCTCCCACACCTGGTCCAGGGCCCTGGGGCCACAGGGACGCCGGGTGAGGCTGTGTGGCCTTCCCTGCTCTGCCTGCCTCCTCTGGGCCTGGCAGCGGCCAGCCAGGGCTCGGGGTCAAGGTGGAACTCACCCAGGCTCCATGCCATCCCCACAGATGGGACAGGGGCCCCTGGGCTGGTGGCGGGCACAGTCTCTGGGCAGAAGCAGGAAACCCCAGGCACCCCTCTTGGCTCCCTGCAGGTGGGGTGCAGGCCCATGTGGCCCGACGTCACAGACGTGGTCACCTGTCGAGCTCTAAGCCCTGCTGACCTTGTTCCTGCCCTATCCCAGCTCTCCAGGGTGGGCCTGCCCTGTCACTTGTCCCTGGTATCCTGGCCCACCACTCACCTGCAGTCACCTGCCCTGGGCACGGGTGACCTTGGGCCCTTCCGTGGCCAGGACGGCAGCTGTAATGGCTCCCGGAGGGGAAGTCAACGGGTCCCTTCCCCTGCCTCAGAGCCCCGCCCTGGCTCATCCACTGATCCCAGAGAAGCTGGAAATCCGTCTTGTTTCGAGGTGCACTTCACGGGGGACACTTAGGGGCCCACGACTCAGGCGGCCCAGCTACCGCGGCCCGCGCTGCTTCCCCCTGAGGTTCCGTGGAGACACCAGGCCTCGGAGCCGGGCCCAGGAGGGACGTCAAGGCCACCTCTCAGACTGAGGCACGGGGTTGGCGAGAGGGGGCTTGGTGGCGAGGCGCCCTGTCCCCAGGCCCACCTCCCCCTGCTGGCCTCTCACTTGGGGAAGCAGTCGCCAACGAGGATCCGGCCCAGGGGGTACTCCCGGCCGCCCACGGCGACGGGAGGGCTGACGTCCAGGTTGCCGAAGGAATCCAGGCCCGAGGGGCCAGCGTACAGGATCTCCCGGGTCACATATCCAAAGTCAGGACCCTAGGGCAGGACAAGCAAGACCCCGCCCAGCCAGGAGGGACCCGTTAGGACAGGAGGGCAGCGGGGAAGGAGGCCGGCCCTTCTCCCTGGACCTTCTCACCACGGAAAAGATTCCCTCCCACCCTGACAAGCCCTGCTCCTCAGCACCGCGCCACCAAAGCCGGTCACCAAGGGCCACCGAAGTCACCAGGTGTCTGAGAACGGAGCAGCACGTGTCCATAGAGTCACAGATCAAAGGCCAGGAAGGTCCCGGAGACGAAGGAAGAAGGTATCAGAACCGTCAGGGCGCCGGGGAGGGTGCCGCCTGGGGACCCCGCGCTCTGCACGTGACACCAGGAAGAGGAAAGGCTGAAAGCCCTCAGTGTCCCCGTCACACGGGGAGGAGAACAGCCAACGAGTCCCAAGGAAAGTCGAGGTCACCAGAGAAGAGAGGGGAGGACAGGAGGCCCCGCATCTGCAGGACCCGGGCGGCCGGGCGGCCCCGCCCTCACGCCCACACGCTGTCCCTGGTGGACACACTCACTCGTCATTGGCCCCGGGCAGGGGCAAGTGTCCCTGCTCTGTGCACCCATGGACATTCTCCTGACGGCTCCCACCCGGGCCAGCACTGTCCCAGCAGCAGGCAGAGACAGGGGACCCCCTCAAAAGGCCGTGGAGCCCAGGGACGGACGGAGTGCAGGGGCCGCAGAGGCAGGAGGCGGCCTGTCTGGTCTTGTCTACTGAGGCCACCCCTGACTCACCACACGGCCTTGGGCAAGGTCCCTAACCTCCCTGAGCCCCAGTTTCCTCATCTATAAAGACGGATAACATAACAGGACTTATTAAGGGCCCAGAGTGCATTAAATGAGTTGGCCCACGGCACGCCAGGAAACAGTGCCTGGAACTCAATACACGATGGCAGGTGCTGCTGCTGCCTCCTGTGCACAAAAGGTAGCCTAGTGCCTGGCGTGCGATAGGGGTTCAGAAAACATCTGAAGACAGACCCCAGCTCTTCAGAGCAAAGTCCGCGAGGATTCACCAAGAGTGCTTTCTCTCCAAAAACCAGTTTGGTCTCCCCAGGGCCGCTCACTCTGTTGATTCACCCCCCAAATAAGCTCCTTACCCAGAAGAACTTTGGTGTTCTACTCCTCCCAGGTCCCAGGATGGGGACGGGGACAGTCAGGCTGGTTCCCTGTTCATCAGCATCCCCGGACCAAGCCCCCCGGGGACCCCAGGTTGCTGACAGTCCCCCTTCTGCCCCCCTCTCCCCAGCCTCCGTCCCCAGGACCACACGAGACCTGAGCAGGGTCTCCTCTGGGAGGCGCCCCCGGGGTCCCCGCTCGGCCACCCACCAGGATCTTCTTGTAGGGGAAGTCCCGCAGGCCCCTGTTCCGGGGAGAATCAAAGACCACGGGGAAGGACTTGTGAGGGGCCTCGATGTAGCCAAACTCCATCTCGTCCTGGGAGGGGGGAAGGCGCGTGAGCCCTGCGACAGGTGAGCCCTGCGACAGGTGAGCCCAGGCAGACCTGGGGGGGGGGGGGGGGCAGCCTGTCCTCCACGGGGCGAGGGCCCGGGACCAAGCAGCAGGACGGGGCGGGGGCAGGCGCTGGCCGTGCACACAGGCCGTATCCCCCGGGTCCCGGCGCCCAGGGGGACGGAGGCCCTTCCTGCAGGCGACCCCTGCCCACCTGGATCCAGCGGTCGTTCCGATTGTCCACCCGCGGGCAGATGACCAGCTTGCAGCTGGCTTTCGAGGCCAGGTGGGCCATGTCGTCCAGAAACTTTTTATTTGAGCCGTGAGCGTCCACCACACTGCAAGGGCCAGGGAGAAGGGGCGTCACGGTGACCGTGACCAAGGCCTGGAGCCCTCAAGTCCCTGCGGGGGAGCGTCGGATTTGACCCCTGTCCCGGGGAGGCTGGGGCCATGGCAGAGGTGGGTGACGTCCCGGGTCACGTCAGGAGACGCAGTGTGAGGGCAGGGCGGGCCCATGGAGCCCGGCGGCCAGCATCTGAACCAGCACAGGTGGGGGGGCCCGTGACAGTGGCCCTGGCAGTGTCACAGGTCAGGGTAGAAGTGGGAGGCACCTGGCCCCCACCCTGCTCACACAGAGGCCTGGCCCAGGGGTCAGAGGGAGGCCCCCAGGAACACCTGGGCGCACCTGGGCCAGGTGGGCAGAGCAATCCTGCTTGGCCACGCCCTCCCCGGCCCTGGGTCTGCGTCCAGCTCGGGGTGTCCTTTCCCCTGCTCCAACCCAGGGCCCAGGGCTGGCAGGTCCACCCTTCACCAACGGCCGGCCCAGACTCAGAGCTGGCTGACGGACCCGGGCCCCTGGGGGGTCCCTGGAGACGGGGACTGATGTCCTCGGTGGGCCCAGGAGTCCCCCACAACAGAGGGGCCAGGGCTCCTGTGGCCTCCAGCAGGACCTGGACCCGCTGCCCACACTAAGCCCAAAACAGGACGAGGTGGGCAGGGATGCTGTGGTCCCTACAGCCGACAGCCCAAGGCCACCTGGCCGTCCTGTGCCCAGCTGTCCTGTGGCTGACCTCCAGGACCCGTCCAGGTGGCGGGGAGCTGAGGTGGGGGACCCACCTGCACACGTAGAGCTCCAGAGGGGGCTGGGTGTTGGGGGTCATGATCCAGGGGGCCACGCGGAAGGCCACGGTGTCTGTGAAGAGGGGCACCTCCGGCAGGGTCTGCGGGGAGAGGAGGATTCAGCAGCCCCGCAGGGAGCCTGGACCCCAGGACCCCGAGACGCCACGGCCCCCGCCCAGCCCCCACGCCGTGCACACCCCTGTGTCCATCAGACTGACGCTGAGGGAGACCAGGCCCGGGAACTCGGCGTCGGGGAAGGCGAGGCCCTCCACGTAGAACGGGACCTGCCGCTGCCCCGGCTGCCGCTCCACCTCGTAGGACCTGCGCTGTGGCCCCAGCACCTGCTTGTAGTCGGAGAGCGAATCCCCACCTAGAGGAGATCAGAGTCAGGGCCGGGGACAGCGGGGGCGCGGGGCAGCGGGGGCACAGGGAGCACGGCGTCCCAGGGCTCCGCTCTGAGCTCTTCCGAGCCCGCTGTGTGTCCTTGGCTCGGGCCTCGCCCTCTCTGAGCCTCGGTTCCTCCTCCAGCTTCAAACCAGACAAGGAGAGGAAAGCGCCTGGCACAGAAGGTGACCACAACCCCAGTGTCCACCCCGGGAGAATCTGAGCAAAATGGGCTGCAGCCAGAAGACAGGACATCGTCCACCCGTAGAAAGTGAGAAGGTTCCCGTGAGGCCGCACCCGCAGGCTCCTCAAGGACCCAGGATGAAGCCAGGCACAAGGCCCTGCCCGACGGGTCAGTCCCCATGGACAGGGCAGACCGGCGGTCGCCCAGGGCTCCGGGCGGGTAGGGACGAGAGGGGAGGAGGTGCTGACGGGTGTGGTCCTATTTGGGAGGCGAAGGCACCTGGTGGCCGTGGTCAGCGGGGGCTGCTGGAGGTGTCCCCGGGCTGGCTCTGCTCACAGCGGGCTTTGCCGCGCCCTGGTCTGGGCTCAGAGCTCCTGACCCCGCCTCCCCTCCAGCTCCTCAGTCCACCAGGGTCCTTTGGGGCCCCAGGTTCCCGGTCAGGGAGAAGAGGAGGGCGGAGGGGCAGCGGGTTATAAAGCAAGCAGGGGTCGGGGCTGGGGTCAGGGGGGTGCACTTTTGGCAAGGACCCTGCCTCTGAGCCACACTCCAGCCCCTAGGGAATGGGGACAGGGCCCAGCTGGCTGGCCCCCACCCCTGTCCTGCCCGCGTGGACAGAGCCCAGCGGCAGCCAGGTTCTGTCCGGTGGGGACAGGCGGGACTTGGCCCAGGAAGCCAGGGCTGGGGTCCCTGCTCCCCGCCGCTGGCCCATGGGGGTGGACAGTGCATCTGGGCCTCAGTCTCCCTCTCTGTGAAGTGGGCTGCCCGCACCTCCTCCTCGGGCACCATGCTGAGCTGGTCCCCTCACAGTGGCAGAGGAGGGGACCCAGCCACCACTCACCGCGCGTGCAGAAGACCCGCACCCGTCTGGAATCCGGCCAGGGCGCCTTCAGGACCAGCCTGTGGCTGTGGAAGACCTCGTCGGGGCCGTCGCAGCTGAGCACCATGGGGGACATGTCCTGCAGGTCTGGGGAGAGTGGCCCCTTGAGGAGGCCCTTCCCACCCACCCCAAGGCCCCTCCCACCCCTGCCAACTCCTGTCACTCACCCTCCAGGGACATCAGCTGGCTGTTCTGAAGGTCAGGCCCCATGGAGTTGTCACTGTCCTTGTCACAGTTAACCAGCAGGATGGCTCCGTAGCCCTCAGGGCCCCAGCGCCAGGTTTTCTGAGGCAAAACAGGAAGGTCATTGGGAAGCAGGAGGCTCCAGAGAGGACTCCCACGTGGCCTGGGCTGGCTGGCGAGCTCGGAGAATTTGTCCCCTGGGTTTGCTCAAAGATTTAAGGAGGGACCTTAGACTTGGGACTAGCGTACTTGGTGAGGCCTCACCTTGTACAGTGAACAACCTGTGCAACCATACACGGTGACTTTGCCTAGCCTCGACATTGGAGGAGCAAGGCTGACATTGCCAAGTCCAGAAATGGTCTCAAAGCTGGCTGAGCTTCATCCCTACCTGGGGGCCAGGCTGCCCACCTTGAACATGACTTCACAGGGCCACTGCCAGCCTATACGGCACTCCTTGGCACAGTTGTCCACCTCTCAGGATAGATACCACCCCCATGCACATGATTTGCATTATACTCCCACCTACCACCTAGACCAAGCACCCTTGTGCAGTGAGCAACCTGCACAGCCTCCTACAACGGCCCTACTCTACCTCATCCACAAAGCCCTGTGTTCCTGGCTGCCTCTCTGGGCTGCTGTTCCTTCCACCCCTTCCAGGACAGCTTCCAGCTACTTCCTGTGGTGTGATGCTCGGAGCCCACCCCATTGTCCTCTTCACCCTCCCTGGTCCAACTGGGCTGGCTACACGGCCCCCTAGCAGGAGGCCGTGTCATCAACGTTTCATGGAGCACCCGCCCTGCGTGGGGCCCGGATGCAGCTCCCACATTAGAAAAGGCAGCAAGGGAGAGCCGTGTCCAGCAGTCACAAGGGAAGACGCTCATGCCCATGTGCCATCCCTGGGTGGCTCCCTCGCTGCCCGAGGCCACGGCCCTGGGAATCCATCTCCCTGTGGAAGGAGGGCCCCGTCCGCCCGAGACCGCCCCAGGTCTGCCGGCCAGCCCCGGGTCCTGGGGTAGCCGGGCGGGCCTCACCTTGTCACGGCCGCTTCTCCTGACCTTGCCGACGCGGTCAGTGTCGACGTCCAGGGAAACATCTGGGAAGGGTGGACAGGGCTCCCATCTTCACCCCCGTGAGGTCCAGATTGGCAAGCCCCGTCCCAAGGTCAGGAAGGACCAGCCAGCCCAGCCCAGGGGACCGTCCCCTACTCTTGGGAGGCCCTGTGGTTCTGGTCCAGGTGACACTCAAGTCTTGGCTCTCGAGTCACCTGCTAGTCTGTGTGTGTTGCGTCGATCCTGTGGGTGGCCTTGGGCTCGCAGGCCACATGCCGGTGGCCCCTAGCCCTGGCAGCTGGGGGCTCAGAGTGGGCTGCCCTGGCTCTGGGTGAAGGGGCCGAGTGGCCTCAGGGCCTAGCTGCGGATCCTGGCGACCACTCGGGGCCTGTGTGGGCTCCAGGTGAAGGAGGCCTCCCGTGGCTCGGGCCCTTGGTCTCTGGACGGAAGTTTCTAGACCCCGTGGCCCTGAGTTTGGCTGGGTGTCCACCCCGGGGGTTCCAGAGTGGGCGGAAGGGTCAGTCCTTCCTCTGAGGCGGAGGAAGCCGGCCGAGGGCCCCTCAGGACCCGGGCACAGCCAGCTGTCCGCGGACGGCAGGGTGGCACTTACCCACACAGGTGAGGAGCAGCACGCTGCGGCCCAGGGCCTCGCCCCCCTCCTCCCCGAAGTAGGCCACCTTCACCTGCGGGGCAGAGTCCGCCCTCAGCCACCTGCAGAGCCACCTCCAGAGGCCGCGGCGCAGACAGGGGACGCTCCCACAGCCCTGCCCAGCAGCAGGGCCGGCACAGGAAGCCCAGGGCCACGGGGTCCCCAGGGTCCTGGGCTCTGGCTTGGGCGCAGAGCCGCCTTCTCAGCTGGACTGGGAAGCCGGGGATGGAGGGGCAGGAGATGGACAGGGAAGGGGCGACGTGGTCTCTCTAAGCCGCCTCAGTGGAGGGGACCCCACGATCACGGCCCAAGGCCAGGGGCCTTCCCGAGCTGCAGACCCCGCAGCCAAGTCCTGCTCAGGGCGTCTCCGTGAGCCAGGGAGGCCGTCCAGGCCCTGACAGAGCAGGACACCGGAGCCACGGGTTCCCAGCCCTGTCCCCGTCAGCCCTGGGCCTGGCTTCTGCCTGCGGGGGAGGGGCTGTGGCCCCCGGGGCAGGCGCCTGGACAGGCGGTCAGCCAGGGCTCAGGCGGTTCTGCTGCGCAGGGAGGGGGGCTGCGGGGTCCGTGTGCGGGGGTGACGTGGGTCCCGAGTGGAGGTGACAGGCAGGCGGGGGCTCACGGGGGACCCACAGTGCCCCACTGTGCGGCTGGGGGGGGGTTCCAGGTTTGGTGGCCGTGGAGTTGCATCAGGGACACGTGGGGTGACAGTGGATGGCGCTGTGGGCAGCTCTTCCCTCGGTGGGGTGGGGCGAGGTGGGCTCAGCCCCTCACTCTAAGGACATGGGCTCTTACCTTGAGGTCATTTAAGTCCTTACTGGCTTTGTCTGCAGAAACGATGACCTCCACACTGGTGTCCAGGGGCCAGGGGGCCTTGCCCGCAGGCTCTGTCACCCGTGTGGAATCGTAGGCCACAAAGATATCCAACTTGGAGCTCCCAGAGACGTCGAAGTTCTTGGCGCCCTTGGGCACATCACTGCAGAGGAGGGAGAGAGGATGAGGCCCAGGGACCCAGGAGGGTGGCCACGGGGGAGGGCGTGTGTGGCTGCCAGGCAGCCCAAACGTCACCCCTCATAGCTGGTCTAGGGACCACTCCCACCCCAGCCCTCAAGGCCCACTTTGCCCTGGCCACCCGGCCTTCCTGCTGGTCCCTAAAGACGCCAGGCTGGGCTGCCGCAGGGCCTTTGCACTGGCCATTTTCTCTAGGTAGGATGTTCTTCCCCAGATACACACCAGGCTCCTTCTCTCAAACTTCAGGGCTCTGCGAGGACGTCACCACTCCATTTAATGCCACACCTTGCCCCACCCTCTTGGCCACTGCCCCGTCCCCTCACCCTGCTGGGATCCCTGGTCCTGCCTGGCTAGGGTCCATCTCCACGGCTAGCTCAGCTCTGTGCTCCCTGCTGCATCCTGGGATCGCATGCCTGGCACCACAGTAGGTGCTCAATAAACCTCTGTTAACACATGAGTGGACGCTCACTTTCCCAGACCCCACAGGGGGTTCTGGGGACGTGGCACTTGATCCACCCAGGACCCAGTGCCACTTCTCTCCAGCCACCTATACCCCCGAGCCCTGGGGCACCAGAGAACCGCCAGCCACCTCAGCACAGCGGGTTGGGAGCGGCCTTCCTGGCCTCAGCTTTGGGGAGGGGAGTGCCCCGTACTCAGGCCACAGGACACGGAGAGTGGAGCCAGCGGGGCCTCTGGGGGGCAGCTTGTCCTTCCTCACCCCACACAAGAGGGCTGGGCACCTCTGCCAGGATCCAGGAGGGAAGGTCACTCCCTCACGTCCATGGCAAAGCCGAAGTCTCAAGGCCACCCCCAAAGCCCGGTCCCCGTAGAGACGTCCACTCGACCACCAAGATGCCTCTGGAGGGTCCTTTTACATACGCCTCCACCCTTCCCGGACCCCAAGAACCTACCAAAATCACATCCTCCCCAAGCCCTGCCACGGTCACTCTGTCCCCCAGCCCTGCCACCTTGTCCCCACGGCCTCTCCTCCCGCCCCCTCGGCCCCTGGCCCCGGTGGGCAAGGCGCTTCCTACTTCCCTGTCCCCTCCCAGATGGCTTCTTTCCTTCGTCCGTGACCCCCTGTGTGAATTGAAACCTTAGGTGCCACCACCTATCCCACGGTCACTCTGCCCTGGTCCCTTGAGGGGGTGGCTCCTGCCACTGTCCCCAGCCTGCCCTCCCCTGGCTTCTTTCAATGGCCACGTGGACAGCACACCCCAGCCTGGCTGCCCAGTCCTGTGACCTTTGCTGTCCCCCTCCGACCTCGCTGCCCCCTGGGTGAACCCCACACTCTGTCGTCACCCAGAACAGCAGGCGCTGCCGGTGTCCTGCTGTGACTGCCACCTGCTGCACCAACCCCTCAGGGCTCCGCGCACTGGGACCGCGGCTGAGCCTCCCACTTCTCCCCGTCCCTCCCTGCCCGGTCCCTCTTCCCTTCACTGACTGTCCCACGCCCATGGTGGTCACTCCCTGCTCTGGTCCCAAGGCCCTGGCCCCTCGCTCCTCTGCCACTTGAGCCGCAGTGGACCAGCGCCCACGTGGCCCCCAGACTCCGACCCTTAACCTCCAGGGACATGTGACCGCTGGCTGTCCTGCCACCTTTCTGGAGACGCTTTCTGCTGAGTCCTAGGAACAGGGGCCACCCCTCCCCTCCCTCCCGAAGCCCCGCCACCTCGTCACCCAGCACACCTGCCTCCGAGCTCACGTCCCCACTGCCCTCCTGAACAAGGGACAAATGGCCTGGCATCCTGCCCAAGACCTGGCCTCCGCAGGCGAGGGCCCCAAGGTCACGGTCCCTTCTCCCTCTCCCACATCCTGCACAGCCACGTCCCCATCCTAAAACCCGACTCCCCCCCCCCCCCCGCACCGGGCCGTCCTTTCTTGGGAAAATTCAGGAGCTGGGCGTCCCCGGCAGCCCCCACTGCCTCCGAAACCTACCCACTCGCCTCCCTGACCCCCCACCAGCACTGCTCTGCCACCAAGTCCAGGGTCCTTGGTTGTGTTCTGCTTGCTGACCTTGGTCCCCATGACCATGTGTTCTTGAAACACATCCCCACCATCCGGCTGCAGGACGCAGCTCTGCTTGCTCTCCCGTGACTCTGCCTGGCCTCGGCGTCCCCGGCTGCCCTGTCCCGCTGCCCCACCCTGCTGACCCCTGCAGCAGCACTGGCTGGGGAGGACTTCTTACGCATACACACGCATTTACACAGATTTGCTGAGATGAAGTGTGTGCGTCCCACGGCGCACAGATCTGAAGGCCACACGCGCGTCACTCTTTCTCGTCAGATGTGCGAGGCTCCACGAAGCTTCCTGTCACCGCACACAAGCTGCGTTGGCGGTTTAGACCACGATTTGACAAACGTGCTGCTCCCCAACCTGCTGGTCCCAGTAAATTCGCTGTCGCTGAATCTGAAGTGTGACCTGATCGCGGGCTGATATTTTTGTTTCGAAGGTGTCTGGCGAGTGTCGCTCATTCATCAACGAGAGTCACTTCCTTGCTGAATCAGACGGCATTGGGAACAGCTGCTGGGGTTTTCTGTCCCCCCGCATGATGGTTGGACACACTCCCAAGTTTTGGCTGCGTCATTGGCCTCCGTCCCTTCCTTACATCTAGACGATGTCACGAAGCTCTCACTTGTGGCCTTGGCTCTTTCCATGGTGTGAATAATCGGTGTGGCCCCGCTCCACGTCCTCTGCTCCGTACCTTTCACCTTGGAGTTTCCAAGAGACAATCGCGCTCCACTGTGTCCGCCACCCACGGCTCCCCGTGGAGAGCAGGGAATCGTTAGGGGCTGGGAATTTTCAGAGCTCATCGCCTTTGTCCTCAGATGCAAACGGTCCCCTACTTCCTTAGGAGGGCTCAGCGCATAAGTTCTGACTTTGTGATGATGCAGACGCACACCCACCCGGCGGTGGCTCTGGGTAGAGTATTCGGCAAACCCCACGCGATGCTGTGCCTTTGTGGTAAAACAGGCTGCGGGCGGCGGTGGAGCTCCGAGCTGCGGGAGGCCGGCTAGGCCGCGCTGTCTAGGAGGCTGGGCCGTTCCCGGCTTTGCTGGAGCAGGGTATTTTTAAGTTTTGATGGGTTTATTTTCAACTTTCGATGGGTTTACTGGGGTGTGGCCCTCTGACTCAGAACCTTTCGCCCAGCCCGTGTCCCTGCAAGCCACCTTCCCTCCCTGGCTCCCTGCTCCTCCGTGAGGCTGCCGAGGCTGCAACCCTCTCTGTCCAGAACATTCTGCTCACAGCTCCCTGCGGGACGCCCAGCGCCTCACTTCCCTCTCAGAAAGGTCCTCCCGTCCACCTTTTGCGAGCTCCCTGTCCCCGCTTATCCCACGGCCCCGGTCACCTGACATGACGCCTCTGCTCATCTCCCCCCAGAAAGCTGCGAACTCTGTGGTTGGTCTCTCTGAGACACGGCTGTCCCCCAGCATCTGGCTCAGTGCCTGGCCTGGGCAGGCGCCCGGTGATGGCATCACGAACAAGTAGGTGTCAGGCCCACCTGGGAGCCGCCAGGGCTGCCTTGGGGTCGGAACGCACCAGAACCCTGTGCCACACGTCCCCAGAGCAAAAGTGGGCAGGCAGGAGCCTAGGCCAGCTTGGGGACACCTGCTCTACCCAGGGACTCTGCCACCCCACAGCCCTTCCCAGAACACAGCTCCTGGGAGCAATCCCAGCTTTGGGCAAAATTGACTTCTATGAATAACAGCCTCGGCCACAAGAAGCCTTATGTGGAGACTTGGTAGGAAATTATTATTAATAATAATAATAATATGCATGTGCCCTGGGAGGGAGGGGCTGTGCCCTGGAGGCCAGCACAGCCTCCTGCAGCCGAGACCTGCCCCCTCCCTCCCCGGACCTCGCACTAGCTCCTGCGGCATCTGGACTCTCTGGGGCTGGCCCCCGCTCTCCTGCAGGTGCCAGGTGAACAGGGTGGAGCCTGGGGAGAAGCCTAAGCCCTTCGGCAGGAGGCACTGATGGGCAGCGGGTGACCGTGGCTTCTCCAAGGGCCTCTGGGAGGGGCTTGTTCAAGACCCGCCCCACCTGCGCACCCTCGCCCCACCCCGTGGTGTCCAAGAGGTCCAGGTCACTGCAGGTGGGAGAGGATGGTGGGTGTCCCTGGGAAGGGGTGGAGGGCCTGGGGCTCCTCGCTGGTGACCAGGGGTGGTTACCGCAGGTGGCGCTTTGCAGCCTTGGAGTCTCATGGCCTCGGCCCCCCTCCGGTCCCCACCCTGGCTTCAGAGACAGGGCTCACAGGTTCCCAGGGGTGTGGGCGTGGCCATGGATTGAGTGACAGGCAGGTGGGGCTTGGGATGAGCCGCACAGTGAGATCTGCCCCCCCCCATGCCCCTGCTGTTGGCGGTCCCTCCTGCCATCACCCCACCCCCACTGCTTCCCTGTGCGGGTGTCTCATGGTGCAGCCCCCAGATCAAGTCCTGATGAGGTGACGCTGTGGATCTGAAAGTGTCCCTTTAAGGAAAGGGAACTCGAGCATTACCATCCGCTACCCTTCCCCATGCTGCCCAGACGGGGTCCCCAGGGGGCGGGGCCATCTTTTGCTTCTCCCAGACCCACTTGAGATGCCACCTCTTCCCCAGAGCATGGTGTGGGCTCTGGAGTGTGGCCTCAGGTCTGGCCGGAGCAGATCACCCTGTGACCCTTAGCAGGCCATCTGTGCCACCCAGGGCAGTGTTGACTCACCCTGCAATGTCCCCGTGCCCAGAGCAGGGCCTGTCACACCAGGTTCATGGAGAGGTGGCTACGGGGAGAATGGAGTCAGTTCTTAGGAACCTCAAAAAAGGAGGCGTGAGGGTGGGGCGGGGAGCAGAAGCTGGGCGTAATCCCCGGCCCTGCCAGCTTGCTTGGGCAAGGCGTGTGCCCGCTCACAGGTCACGGCATGGGTGGGTGCTTCCCTGAACTGTCGGGGCGGGAAGGAGCCTGAATCTTCAAGCACCCGCTCTGTAC